TGATGAAAGGAGCGTAGCGAAATTTGCGTGGTCAGACGGAAGAGCGGGCCTAATGGCCCGAGTTTCTCCACGTAAAATAAGGCAAATTCAATTCAATTCAAAAAAGTGAATGAAGGCGGACGAGCGGACGACAGCGCACACGTGCGAATCCGCCCGCATCTTGATGCGTGCCCGATGTGGGCCGCAAGGCATTCACGAGGAACAGAAATTGAATAACGCTCTGATCTTGCAGATTTCGTGTTCGTGTCTTCGCGGGCGCCGAAACAATAAATGTTTGCAGCTTTGTGAAATGAGAACGCTATTATTTCCGTATCACGTGGGTCAATTGAAACTGTAACAAGTTTGCTGCAATCTGAAATTGTAAGAGAAAAGTTCATGCTGAACAAGAACATGTCTATTTACAACTAGAATTGGGCCTTTTTACATGTTTTAAATTTACTTAAAAATAAATTATTGAGTGCCTCTAAAACAAAAAAAAAATACGGGATTTCTTTAGTGACAATTTCTACATTCTTTTACAGTTTACTTAGAAGTATTGTGGAGCTCTTTCTGTTGCGCGGAAGTGTCGAGAGCCGAATATCGGTTTCAAAGCGCTCGTTATCGTGTAACACTTGAATTACGCTTGTAAAGGCAATCGCAAGTTCATACAGCGCGCCGCCAGCGAGCACTCTGCACGAGCTTCTACCAATTGACGTTGTGAGCGCTGCGAACACACGGATAGCATATTCAGGGGCCGCGCGGCAATTGCACGACACGAGTGTATTACGGGTTGCCTACACATCTTGTTTGCAGGCGCTCTGAACAGCGCGCCCATGGGAAGGGGCGACGCGACGCATCTGGCCACTGGCGCGCGCGGAGGGTTTTCGCTGGAGACGAGAGATAAGCGTCGCAGCGGCAGCTGGGCGGCCACAGCGCGCGAGAAAGCCAACGGGTGCTTGTCGCGTCAGGCGCCGGGCACGGAGCCAATTTTAGCGCGCGCTTTTAAGCCCCTTCGAAGCAGCACGGCGTGCGAGCGCATCAAAGGGCTGCCAGCTGCTGTGAAATTTATTTGGGTGGAAACATCGGCATACCTGCATACTTTGTTGTGTTACGGCAGCTTCGATACGCTTGTCAATGAAATGACAGATTCATCGCTTTCGTAAATAGCTACTCTTTGTGTGATGAAAAAAAGAACTTACCCTGCAACGGTAACGCTTCCGCTTAATTATCTGAGTTCATATCTGCAGTCTTTTTGAAGAGCCTATTCTGTGAATATATAAAACAGTTTTTATAATATTGTTTCAAAATATTCAGAGATTTTCAAAGACAATTTTCATTTGATAGTGCTATGCTACAGAAATGCATGTTTTCAAGAATCTAAAAACACTACACATATTTTGTGTCTTGTGTCAATCATTGCAAACAATCATTTCTATCATCTTGAAAAATATTAGCTAAAAAGTAAATTTTTCTTGGTCTTCAACAAAATGAAAACACAATTTCATTAAAAAAAACAACTTCGAAGCAGATGCAGCATATTTTGCATTTCCCCCTTAATCACCACCAGAATTGAAACATTTGTCATGCCGTGGGATACACGTGCGTATCCAGTGTTGCAGTCGCCTGACAAGTGGGATAGGTACCGGTGTTCGATAGCCGCCTGCAACCTCACGTCTCTTGATACTCTTAATGCCGACCGGCCGGGAATGTCGTGAGGAGTAAGAAAAGATGGGAATGACTCGAGAGCGAGATTTGGACTACGGAGTGGATGGTCAAACACCTCCCAGCGGAACTGTAACAGAAGATTGTAAGCCGAGTCGTGAGTGGCCGAACCTTATCGTGCAGGAAGAGAACGCGTACACGGAGCATCCCGTAGGGCTTATTCTGAATGGCCTTTCGCAAATTCTGCTGTGTTGCACAATTACTTGCAGCGTTCATCATCTCACCTCTGGCCACAAACTAAAGGAGCAGGAGGTCCTTTCTGTCCTACAAGACCGCACAAAACACTTTCCGCGACGATAAAGTCTGTTTGATCTTGGACGAAGATGCAATGCATTGACTGCTGTTTGGTTTCTTGGGTAAAGTGGGCAACCCACATTTCGTCGCCTGACATAATCCCATCCAGAAATGTTGACATCGTCATGATACCGCTCCAGAATTGTCATTGTCTCATCCCATAGTCTTTGTTATGTGTTCTGTCAGTTGTTTTGCCAATCACTTCGAACCCAATTTGCAAATAACAAACAGGCTACCGCGTTCCGTGATCGTGAAATGACTTCCACAAGATTCTCCGTGACGGGTAATGGCCACCGTCTGCGCTCCACGTGAACATTTTGCCGAACGTTTTAAAATTCCCTGCACCAGCTACGCAACATCTGTTTGCTCATGATCCCCGGCCAAACGCGTGACAATTGACGACGAATTTCGATCGGTGTCGTGTTCTGTACGATGAAAAACTTCAACGTGGACCGAACCTCGCAAGCGGCGGGGGTTGGAATTAGAGCAATCGTTTTCATCCACTGCATTGATGAAGAATGAGGCAGACTGCCTAGCGCATAAGATGGCAGTGGTCTTCTCACGCTCGTGCATTTCCCTGTGCAAATGTGTGGTGTGCTGTCTGTTAGTTGCAAGTAAAACTTACTTTCTGAATACGCTACGTACATTCTTTTTGAGAATTACGAAACCAAACAAAAAGATCTGGGACTTTTTATAACAAAAGTTGTGTATCTTAGTGCATATCCCTGACGACTTAAATTTTTTTTGATTTCAGAATTCGTCACTTTTAGCTACTGCGAAAGATCTGCAAATTCATGTAAATTTTAATACGCTTTTCAAAAAAGTAAAGTAGTAGTTAGTAGTTATCTAGTAGGGCCGTATGAAGTAAAGTACTACTCGTTGTAATCATGTAAAGAGTACTGTGATTGTGCGGACCTACCACAACGTGCTATCGCTCTTGGTCGCCGATCGCTTCTGTCAACGCGAACTCGTCACCCAACTCGGGCGCCATCGCTTTCAAGATTGCGCCCATTAATAGCCGCTAATGACCTCCGCTGCCCGAATCGCCGCCCGGCCCCCTCAACGCTTCGCGCCCCCTGCACTTGCTAGCGCACAGCGCGCATCGCGCCGGCTTCATCCATCCGTCAGCTTCAGCCGAGCGCGGCGCCGCGTGCGGCCAGGCAGATGATATTTCGTTCAATCCATTACGCCCAGATTAATTGGACGTTCCCGGCGGCGACATAAATTGCGTGGTCCCATTAGCGGCATTAGCTCTCGCAAAGCAGCGTGGCCCCCCCCCCCCGCCCGCCTCTTCGGTAGCCCCCGCGCGGCGAGCAAACGGAATGTATTGATTCCGACTTGTTTACGTATCAGGACGGCGCGTTTGTCAATTTACGCGATTACCTCGCAGCGTTATAATCGTGCGTTAGGTATGTGCGGCGTGCGCGAGCGGAGCGAGCGACGTTCCGGGCTGGTAGAGCGCGGATGTAGGCATTTTGGCACCTGGTCATCGCCCTTGGCAGTCAGTGTAAAAATCAGAAAACAATGGAAGAAAGGATCGTGTTCTCCAAATTATAAAAGTGTGAAGGGAATAACGTCTGTTACAAGCAGCTTTTTTAGCTATAAAGATATTAAGCTAAGGCTGAAATTAAATCGCAACAACTTCTAATCAGATATGAATTGCAATTTTGTTCCTTTTTTTAATAACAGCATTTCGCCCCCGAAAAAATGCCTTCAGATGTGGCATTTTTACCTCTTTGAAAATGTTAAAATATTTTATTATTTTGCCTTTAAGATCGTTTTTGAGCATTCTTTAAAAGTATTTGTGGAATTGTAAATATCAACACACCGTCCTCGAAACATACCGTTGCGTATGATCATGATTTATGTAGTCAACTTCCTGGCATTTGATTCTGTTAATATCACTAGCTCAATGCCCTGAAACTATGGCTGTTATGCGGGAGTAAATATTGTCAATATTGTCAAAGAACGTTCATAACGAATTAGAACTCTGTGATATCCTGTGTGTTTATTCCATTCTAGAGTGAATGTTTCAAAATTACCTTTCCTTTCGACATGTAACTTACACATGTCAAAGAAAAACATTTTAGGCTACTATAAAGCTGTAAAACTGATTTCTTCTGCTATCCCCTGAGTCTAAATAACTGAAACATATTAATATTGTTAAAATTATCTCCAAATCCCGTAAAAATAATGGATTGCAAGTAATGAATGTATTTGGCAAAACATTATGTGTCAGTCCATATACATTTTAATTATCAGCATGATAATTTAACAGGCTATGAATTTTTTTATTTTATAATAATTTTTTGTATTAATTCCATGATACTTTGCAATAAGTAATTCTGATTTTCAATACTACTGATTACTGAGCTCTTTTTATGGAACCCAATCATTATATTTAATATTTTGCCGTTTCCCAAAAATGATTGTAACTTCATAATCTTGTAGTTTATTACATGATTGCATTCGTGGTAATAGTAACTAAATTATAAGGACAATTATGCTCGATGACTATTTGCCGGTTAATTCTTTGTAAAGTTATAACAAATTTATTTTTAACTAATTTAAAAAGTAGTTTCCGTAATTAATTTGTACGTTGATATATTTTCAAATTCAACAAACCATATTTGTGAATGAGGAGTGGAACGATATTCACGTATATTAACTGATGTGCTCAGTGTGAATTCGGCCAAATTAGTAACATTCCAATGCTGTTGACTGCCTATGTAATGCCTGTAGTCTGCGGAAATTTGCTCTCTGCCTTTTAGCCTTTGTGCCAGGCGCGTTTGAAGAGCCCCTCTTCATTCGACTGTAGACCGCCTGGCGCGCTAGCATGTGGGGCTGTGCAACGGCGTTTCGTAAAACACGACACTTCAGTTCGCATACAAGTCATTAAAAACTAGCGGTTATGGTAAAACGCACTTACCGCCATAATCAAAGGCATGTGTGTTATTGTGGCCGAGGGAGTAATGTACGGACTATTCACATATAGCGTTATAATGAAATAATCGGAGTTTTGTCGAATCAGACGCATCGGTAAAACGATTTCCCCCTCAGTAACATTCTGTAATACGAGTGGCGAGTGACTCTTGTTAATTCATATGATAATTAAACAGTCACATCGTATACGATTTCATGAAACCATTAAAACCATTTTGATTAAATGATCTGGAACATTTATTGTGTTTGGAATAACACGGAATGAAGCAAAAAGCACGGGAGGTAATGGAAGGCGGACGCTTGCAGGTGAAGCTGGTGGATGTGGAGCGCGTGGAGTGGGTGAACCGGCGCACCTACAGCGCCGTGGTGCTGACGCTGGGCCGCGACGGCCGGGTGCTGCTGCGGGCGGCGGAGGGGCTCGAGGACTGGTTCGAGCTGCTCGAGGTACGTTGCCCTTCTTCTCTGTTCCCACCGTTTCTTCTTCTTCTTCTTCTTCTTCTTCTTCTTCTTCTTCTTCTAACAACACACACACACACACCAATATTACGAGGGTTCACGGAGAAGTGGACTTCTTTGTGACTCAGTTGCTGACGGGGCATGGACGCTTTAGAGCGTCACCTGCACTGATTTAAGCTCGATGACGACCCGACGTGTCCAGCTTGCCCAGGACAGGAGGAGGGTGTGGAGCACGTGATGTATAACTACCCGCGAATCTCAGGAGAACGAGACCAGCTGCAGGAAATCCTACCACAGCGCCTGACCCCGTAGAATACCATACCACTGATGGTGACCACGGAAGAGAGATGGGACGCAATTGCTACGTACGCTGCCCGGGTCATGCGACGCCTCAGAATTGAAGAGCGCGCGAGAAGTAGAAGCCAATAAAGGCGTAAAGGAGGAGGGCTAGAATAGCCCCGCCACCCCACCTAACGAAGTAATGCCTGACGGCGGTTCCGTAGGTGGGGCAAGGGACGTAGGGTGTTAGTGGGTATTATCTTCGGATAAGTCCCACACGAATCGGCCCGGACATGAGAGTCTGGGTCGAGGGTGCGTAAATGCATTTCCTCCGTCGTTAAAAAATACACACCCTATATTACGTTTCTTTGGCAGGACCCACATTTTGTTTGTTTGCCGACGAATTTCGTGATAAGTTCGTTTGTGCTAATGAGGCTTTACCATATTATTCTTTTCTTTTCTTCCACTCACCGACTCCCACTCTCTTTCATTTAACACTGTGTCTGGTTTCCTCTTTATCAGGTTTCTTTTTATTCACACCTCCTCTTATTGTTTCAATTCTTTCTTAACCGGGTCAAACATCCTAGACCATTGTTGTAGTATATGAAGCTATTTAATGTGGCATTCTCCCTGACAGTATTTTCTAGTTCCAATTCTTGAACTTTCCTTATATGTTGATTTTTTGGCTATTCTGTCGTTTTTCACTTCTCAGGAATATTTGTTTGTTTTGTTTTTTTGTTATTGAATGCAATCACTATGCACATTTCATTAAACTGTGTGGTACGATGAATGAGGTTCAAGTAGAAATCAAATTTCTACTTGAACTAGAAAAAACTAAAAAAAATACAATATTGTGAAAATGTGCAATTTTTAATATGTATTGGAACAATTGTTCACTTTGTCATATTAGGTATCTTTTCACTCAGATTGATAGTGTTCCTTAATCTTATTCCCTGCACCAATTGGAATTTTGAATTGATACAAAGGGAAATCATGTAAGAATAATTTGGAGACAAAACAATGAGCATCCAAATTTGAATGTGTTTTTAATTCTGAGCTAGAGATATTCTTATGATATAGAGAGCTCAAGAGCATATCCAGGATGTATTTGAAGGGAAAGGGAGGGGGGACAATTTTGGTTTGGAGCTCCTTCCCCATTCCTCCCATAATATTTTTCAAGGAAGAAGAAATGTGTTAGTGTCTTCTCTGAGAAAGTGATGTGTGAAGAATGAAATGAGATGTGAATAATTTATAGCAATGGTTTTGATTTGTGAAAAAAAGGGTGCATATGTGATGGGTGCAAGATTTCCAAGGAACCTTCTGTATCTTCTTAATCTTTGCTCCAAGAAAATATTAATCTCACTTTTCGAACTTTATGTGACTCCATTCCATTTACTTTATAGCTCCATCCTATTTCAAAGTTTAATTATGACAAGACACCCCTATTGTTAATCTGTGTCTGAATTAATCATCAAAATAAATTCTGTGTTAATTTCCTTTTTCTGTAATACCCTGTCCTTACAAATATAACCCATTTCCAAAATAATCAAATACAAGTTTCAAATTTTCTGTCTCTGTTTTGATGTTCTAAAAAGTGAAATTATAACGGTTTCTTCTACAGACTTAAATAACTGATATTGTATCACATGAAAACTTTGTAAATTTTAGTTATTATTCGAATTCCTTTCCTGTGTATTAAAAAAAAAATATTGAATGAATGTGATTAAAAAAATATTACATACACATATGGTAAAAGTCTTTGTTACAAAGAGTTCCCATTTCATATTAACAGCAAAGAAAGTGAAGTAGAATGTAGATTTTTTATAAGCCTATAATGCAGCAGGGGCACTTATTTAGAAATAATTTGTATATTGTATTTATAGATAAGGTTTTGGCATTAACTGCAATTAGTTAAATTAAATTTCTCAGATAAGGTTTTGGCTTAAAAGTAATTTTTTCACCAAATTTTTGCAGAATTAAAACTTGTTGTCTAATTTAAAGGTCACAAGCACTCCTTTTTTAATTGCTGTGTTTATATGTTTATTAGTGTAGTTAATTTACCTTAGAGCATAATTATTCTTATAAAAGTATGATATGTCAAAAACTTACTACTTTCTAATTGTTTTAGGAATGTACCCTTGCAAGCAAGGAGCGACGTCAAATGTTGCGCAAGTCACATGACCCCAGCTGGCCACGAACTGATAATTTCAATAACAACTCCATAGCAAGTAATCTGGAAGACTGGCTCTTAGCTAGGCAAAAGATAGGTATGTTATAAAATATAAATCCAATTTTTGGAAGAAAACTTCTTGAAATATAGTATTCTATATTTTAAAATTTGCTTAAGAAGCATTAAAATAAATATACTTGTATAATTGTTTCAGCTGGACTGCAACATCTTTCTGATTCAGTACCAGATTTACAACACCTTCCACCTCGAGATCGCAATTCACAAGCTCGACGCATAAATGTGGATGACGACGATGATGAACAATGGTTACGACACAGACCTCCGCATCATGAGCAACGCCTATCTTGTAAGTATGGCATATCATTTACAAAAAATTAAGCAGTAATTTAATGCATGTTAAAATTAATGGAGCACTTTTCAAATATATGAGAAATTTTGATCTATTCAGTATTTTTTATATTCTAGTGCTGACAGACATCGACATCAACAGCTGTGACATGCAACTGGAAACACCTCCTCCCTCTGTACCAGCTACATTCAGAGGCAGGCCAACCAGTTACAGGCTAAACAATGATGTTTTCTTCATGTCATCAACTGGTAGGTTCTTCACTAAACTTTTTTTTGAAAGAATCTAATTTACAATCTTTGATTTTCCTGGCTAAGGGTGATACTAATATTGAGAGGGGTTCTCTAAGCAATGTTTTGTTGTTTTTTCTTTCAAGCAACAAGTCGTGACCAAGAAAGGTTGCGAGGAACAGTAACTCCATCATTCTGCAGTTCTCGATCAGTGCTGACACCTGTTGGATCTTTCCGCAGCACACACCTTTTCAATCCCTCAAAGACAGCGGCTGAAAGATTTTCTGCCATGGGTGATGGCCTGTTTTACAGAGGTACATATGTTGAGAATTTAATGTTTATTTATTTTGCTAGTATATAAATGATTTGTTAATCAATTGCTGCTGGAAATTGAATCCAAATTAAAATTGTTTCTGAATGATGTGATAAATCAGCATTCATTTGTATGTATTACCAAATATTTTTGAATAGAATTCTTAAATTGTTAAAAATAAAATTCATAGTTAAAACTGCCTATTTATAAATTCTCAAATTTATGAAAAATCAAATTATATTGTTGAGAATTATTAATTATTGGAATACAAATTATATACATCTTGCCTACTTGTGCCAGTTACTGCAGAAATACCACTGTGATTGCCAAGGAAGAAATTCTTGTTCTTCAGTTGTCTCAATTTCTTATTTCAATATTATTTAATTATTTTGATGTGTTGAATTATGTTATAGAAATGTGTTTACAATTGAAGTGTTTTAAAAATTGCCCACAGATCGATCCCAGAGTGACGCTCATCGACTGGAGAGGCCCAACTGGAAGGCAAAGTCTGAAAATGCTCGTCGCACGAGTTGCCTGGTGCAAGCCACACAAGTGTGAGCTTCTCACAGCACTACAGCCAACTCGTGCAAACATCCTTTTGTGCTCCATAAATACACCAACCTTCATTTAAAAAGCGGATGAACGTCAAGGGCATTTACTATCTGAACTTGACTGATTGGTGGTAAACATTTTAACATTCCTATTGAAAGTGCAAAGGATCAAACTAGAATAGTAACATTGTAGACCAAAGGTCAGACTATCAGTCAATTTATTTTGTAAAGAAGTGGATTGAATCAAACCACTGACATATCATTGGCACCAAATCCACATTTATTTTCCCTGTTATTATTACTTTCTATTTTGAGAATAGATGTATGATTCATCAACTCAACTGTTCATTGTAGATCGTCTATTGAAACTAATAAAATCCGAAAATAAATTGTGTGTTTTGTGACCATTCACTTTTAGACATTTTCTGTATTGTTTTCCTTTTGTATTTCCTACTATATTGAAAGTATAATTGTAAAACTTAATATTTAAAAAAAAATTGAAATGAATTTTGAAGATATTAGTTAGAAAACAACGATCAATAATGGTAAATTTAAATGCCAATAATTTATAATACTGTGTCTTGTTTGTATTTTTAGTGCTTTACTTATTGTAGATAAAACTGAAATATTTAAATTATACAAGTAGTTATAAACATTGTAAAGCAAACTCATTGTCAATTGTATTACACTTCATTTCTATTGAAAAACTTAAAATTCTTTTATTTATTGTAAATACTTAAGATCAGAATACATAGAGTAATTGTACAGTGAAATATGTATTGTGTAATGACAGTCTGCTATCGATGTTTCATTCCATTGTATAACTTGTATTAATGATCACCTATGAAAATGGTGTATGACTCACATGTAATATTTCTGAACTCAAAATGCTAGAGAGTCAAAGAAAATTCAATTTCTAATTGAAGCACTACTTCCATTATTTTGTGTAGCATCTAGTGTAAGTTTCATCAATTTGCCTTCAAAATAAAAAAATGTGGAAATATTACAATATTTTTCCTTTATTTATTCCTATAATTTCATAATTGAGATGTTATTTGTATATATAGAACAATATATAGCATGTTTCAAAGCAATTTACAATATTAAGCAATTGTAAATAGAAATTAATGGAAATCTATGAATAAATATACATTTGTTGGGAAGGAAAAGATAACTAGAGCTTATATTGATAGAACAGTAAATAATAAAACCGTATTTCAAAATAGTTAATTTATTTGGTTTCAGTGACACAGACTGATAACTATTTGGAGATGAGATGAGTGAAACCATTTGATATTGTCTTCTGACACTCCCAGCAGAAAAGAAATCAAATATCTAAAAGAAATTGACAATTTTGATCTTAGAAGATGAAACCTTCTCAAATAACCCAGACCCTGTCTGTATTTTAATTTTCTCTTCAAAGAAATAGAGGTTTTTGAATACAAAGAGATCCTATTTAATTGAACTTGCTCTTGAGTATTATCCATGGGTTTTCAGAATTAATCCAGTTCATTACATGTTGCCTCATAGTTTTCTGTCAAACTTTTTATCAATCAGTCATAAATATGATAATGTTTTGTTTTGTTACTTGATAATACACACTTTTCTGTTGCAATGTTGCAGGCCCTGTTTTTATAGTTCTTAAAAATTAATTTAAACAAATATAATCTACATGTGGATTATTAGTTTCCTTTTCCTGATGTAAATATCCGTTCAAAACGCATTTTCGTATGTTGTTTCAGGACAAAATTAACACTAAAAATAATGGAAAAAGCAAACAAGTTTTAAATTTTTATAGTGAGCAACAAGAATTAAACATTTACTATTATTTCCTCTAGAAATTGAATTAGAAATTGGAATCATTGAACCAATATTGCAACAAAATCTGTGAATGAGTTTTATTACAACTTATTTAAAATATTCTTAACTTTTTACAACGTAAATTTATTATTACATCTCAGTTTTCAGATTTTACAAAAAAAAGGTGTATGGTAATGCCGCTGATTTGAACCATAGTCAATCTTCTATACATTAAATAGCAACATTTAAGATATACACATTTAATGAAATAAAAATTACATCTTATTTTTTTCCACAACAACTGAAAATCAAGAACTTTATATTGAGGATAATAGTCTACTGTATTTTTCTACTAAAAACGATTCTTAATTTTCTTTACTATAAAAAGAGAAAAGAGAAAATTTCTGGGTAAGAAAGGAAAGTAATAATTACTATACAAAATAGAGGTTTAGTGTTTAAACAAAGCCACATCTAAGGATTAGAGCCATGAACAAGCTATGCATTGTCTATTGATCCTTGAGGAGAGAGTTAGCAGGTGTGTAGGGATGCCATAGTGTGTTTCCTCTTGGGGTTACTACAGGTACAGAAGCCCTCCAGAACTTATAATGAGTTCCTCTCAGCAGCCTTGTGCAACCAGTACTTCCAAGGGAGTAAATTGCATAAATATTAACAGCATGCTGCAACTGTTCTGAACTTCTCGTTTCTCACAGGTTTCTACATGCATTGACTTTCTAGTAATCATATTTTCAATCCAATACAATCAATTTGTGATTCAGTTCTGCAGGATTTCAATTCAATATAAAAATGAATTAATATTTACACATGCTGTGAAAATTAATAACATGTGTTTTCACTCTGTTAATACATTGGTATTTCATTCTCTGAACTTCATAAATGAGACATAAAGCATTCATTGATTAATAAGGGATATTAGAGTGTGATGAAAGAGTGAGGGAATAAATTAAATAACTCTTAATGGGCTCCCAGGGATATTTTAAAGAGGTTAATGTGATTAAAAAAGCGTGGCATTAATTCAATAGTGTTTATACTACGAATTTAAAGTGGCGGCGTATGACACCGCTCTCTATTAAGAGTTTGCTCGTTCTCGTTAAAAATCGAATCCAACAGGCGGCGCTGCGTGAAAAAGGAGAGGAAGACAAAAGAAGAGGAGAAGAAGAGCCCGTAGCGATGTTGTGATCAGGGGCGAGTCGGATCGCAGCGGGGTAGGTCGGGCCGGCGACGGCGGGCGGCGGCGGCGGTGGCGGCGGCGGCTGCTGCGAGCGCGGGCTGACGTTGGATTGCGTTGCTTGGCAACACATTTGCTTATGTCGAGCGCCGCTCGGGCCGGCCCGGCCGCCCTGCTAGTCGCGGCCCGGCCCGCCGCATGCTCGCGTGTTCCGTCGCCGTCCTCGCCGCCGCCCGCGCTGCCGTCGCCGACAGGGACCTCCGTGGCACGAGAGATGGATACCTGTCCTGCGGCCAGCCGTCTCTACGACGAGATCGACGCCATGGACTTCAGCAGGTAGGATGAGACCCGCTCGCGCATAGGTGCGCAGCTGTCAGATGTCCATCGCCCTCCGTCACTCTCGTTCGAGTGTTCTGAAACAACTGAAAAACATCGTCTCGAATAGCGCCACTCAGCGTAAGAGAGGTCTACTGTAAGAGTGTTCTAATTGTTGTTCGCGCACCCATACAGGTGTCCGAAGTACCGCGGAGCAACTAGTGAGGGTAATCGCACCCAGCCCCCGCCAAACGCAGTAATGACGCGCTCCAATTCAATGTTTACGAATCGCGGTGTCGCATTCCCGAGTAAATTAACGTCATAATGGACATTTC